TTAGATGAACCTCTTGATATTTTTGAGGTAGTGCTTCAAAAGCACGTGAAAGTGTGACTGCTGTCTGGTTTTCCTGACACGTTCATGCTGAAGTAGTCAGCCAGACAATCTCCATCGATTCAGATTAAATTGTGTTGAGCTTTCGTCTATCATGTCACTTAACAGACAACTTCAGAGCTAAACCTCCCTTTTATCATTCCTAGATAACTAAACCCGTGACAATTCAAGAGTTTTCTTGACATTTTGTGAAATTAAAGACGTTATAAAAATAAGTTCCAGCTAATTTTATATCTGTCAAATTACAGGTGACAGCTCAGCGAAGTTTAAGCAGAACCCCAGGGAAAGTGCTTGGAGGACTGGAACAGAATAAACGCCCGAGAAAGATCAAACAGCAGCTCAAGGAGAAGCTGGAGTCGTGTTCTGATGAGATGAACCTAAGAATCTTTTGATACATTTTCAGACGAAATGAAATTCAGCTATGAAATCCGCCAAATAGTGGACCAGGCTACTTTATATCATAATTTTTAATTGTTGATAAGCACCCGATAATTTAATGACCTACTTAATGCTCTCCCCAGCATGCTTGCAGATAAATTAAGTTGATTCATCAAATGTAAGAACTGCCGTTTTGTTGTCCAAATCACTTGACATTTGATCTCGCAACGCTGACGCCTGTTCTGGTATATGGTCTCACGTTTATTATATACAGCCGCATAAATCCTCCTGCTTTTTACTATCCCACTTTGTAATTATATTAAAATTATCAGTAATTCTTGATTGTTTCGAAGCTTACTCATACTGAATGTAAGTGACGTCGTCGAATGTGATGACAAATAGCTACACACGACCTGGTTTCAAGTCGTATTGGGATGCTGATGAGACCTGGGCGAGGTCGAAGCTGCAGTCCATCTTAAACAAGAATGACTTTTGGAGGTGGCTAAGTGAAAGTCAATGACATCGTGAGGCCTACTCACAGAAATGGGGGAAAAACTCCATTTTCAACACTTAGATCATTTTAAGCGACTTATAACGGCAGAATTTTTAATCAGGAATTCACCATAAAAATTACTCCGTTATAGATTGAATAACGCTGAGGATAAAAAAATAAGTTCAATTTAATGAATTTCGAGTGTCATGTCATCTGACAGACAGACAGAACTGGATTGCATTCTTAAAAAATCTTACAGCAGACACTAAGCAAAGAAGCCTAAGTGGCTTTTATATTCAATATAAAGCCATTGCAACAACAAAACATATATCAATATACATGGATATATATTAATAGATATAGAATGACTTAGTTATTCTATAGCATTTTAAGCATTTGAATGGTTTAATGTATAAGATCGCTCTAGAGTCATCAATGCAAATGACTCGAGGAAAGGCATAATTTCGATTGCACAAATTCGAATCTAAGCCTGAGAGATGTATGGAATGAGTATGAATATAGTTATGACCATTATCCAACCGAATAGTTGGATCTCCTTCATTAGGTAGGAGCTATCGTATTCTGGTGATTATCTAGGTCAACACAACAACACAAACTCATTAGATCTATGGAAACTCGGCTAAATTTCATTAGGAAAGAATTATCTTTATAAAATGGATTCATGTTGGGAACTTTGCAAAATATTGCACCTTCTCAAATGAACTTAGTTTGATGAGTTATTTATTCCTTCTGTCCGTCTCTTACTTATTTACTCCCACAGGTCAAATATCGTTATAATGAAACTTTTGGGATTAAATAAGTTATTTCATTATAATGAACTTAGGTTACACCGGTAAGTGGAAAATTTTTTAAAACTGCAATAAAAAATAAGAGTTTTTCGAAGGTATGAATACCAGGATGGTGTGGCCTCTTGTATGACCGAGGTCTCCTTCCGTTGTATAGTGGTCGTTTGACCTTGTTTTTGCAACTTGGTCATATTGGCAGGAATAAATAGAGAAACGCACCTTGTCTGGAGTCCATAGTATGCATGATCATTTCCAGAGTTGGAATGTGGACTTGGTAGATTCCCAGAGGTTTCGCCAGCAGCGTAGTCGGCCTTGTCAGTGAGCACCTAACTACAACTCGTCAAAGAGACAAGTGAAGCAGATCCTTTGACCAATTGTCTGCTAGACAGTTGTGGTATCTCTCCTTCTGTCCCGGGCTATTCACCTATCCTATATCCCCGTATCAGCCCTTCGCTATTACAAATTCCTAATTGATCATTTAAATGTGGTATCGCTCCCGGATTCTGCAACCTAATGCGGAAGTGTCATTCGGGCACAGTTAATGAAATACTTTATCACGCCTCAGTTCAGCAATTAGAGGAGAGCTACGAGACTGAGAGGCGTAAGCTATTTAAGTTCATAGAGCTTAAGTCTACATTAAGGAAAGATCTAGGCAGGGTTCTCACTCCAGAGGATTTTCAAAAACTCCAGGATATCACTGATCAGAAGTCACAAAGAGTCAGGGATATGATAAATAAGCGGCATGACAAGAAATTGCTTAGCTATGGGATAATAAGACAACACAGGATTAAGTCAACCTGGGCAAATGTTAATGGCTTTGAATTGAAGACATCAGCTGCTACAAACGACGACAGGGAAAAGTTAGTAAACATATCGTCAGTCCTTCTTATTTCTGGAACCATGGATCTTCTAAAGACGGGGTTAAATTTTTCCATGGTAACGAAGGAAAGGTCCTTGATGATATTCTCGAGGAAGTTGTCAGCATATCGGATAAATATCAGGAAGAGACAAAGCGGGAGATGGAAATGGAAATAATCCTGCGAATCCTGGCACCTCAAGAGCAAAAACACATGAGCGGATTGACTGGGATACTCAAAAGATTACAAAATAATGGCAAAATAGAAGTGGGTTGACCTCGTTGTCGCAACTTGGTCTTGTGTTCAGGGAGACTATGTAGAACGCACCG